CACGACCGCTGGTCTAGACGTAAGCCGCGTGATTGGCTGCTGTAAAAACCCATACGCCGGCGATTCCCGACGCTCTCGTCATTTCGGACCTGGCCGCTCCAGCGGAAGGACGTGCTCTCCGTAGTCAAACTTCTTCCTGTATATCCTCCATTTCTCTCTATTCAGAATAAATTATTCCTACTATTCTGGCCTCCACTTACTCCTTCTCTCCTAAAGAACCATGGTCTGAAGATCGCAATTGCTAGGGTCTAACTTACTTAACCCCCTACGATAGGGTCTTTAGGTATATGGGAACACAGGATAGTCAGGTTGCTCAAGTATCACACTTAATACGTTCTACTTCTGACCTGAAGTTACTGACAATTACGGTATGCGGCGCTGATTGAGAAAAGTGTGGGCAGGTTTAAATAATACAGTACGGCTCAGAATTCGTGCAATATGCCTGCCGATATTTGCGAAGGATAGAGATTCACTCGCTAATCGGCATTGAGTAAGGTTATAATACTAATTGTCGTGTAGCCTATTCTCAAGTTATTTCAGTCTCGATATGACGCCGCCTTTTTAACGAGCTTCCTTCTGCCGGCTAACAAAAAGCATTTATTGTAAAAAAAGCTACTTAAGTTGTATGCATTTTATCATTGTAAAACCTTGAAGGGCATATAGTTTGGATTGGAAAACTGCAATACCTACGGCATCATCATCATCCTCATCATCGATCAACTTACAATCAAGTGAAGACGAGCAAAACCATAGGAACCCCGAAGGTGTGCGCTCGGACGTTGGGGATAACCATTTGGAAAGTTTAGTTCCGAAGAGGAGGCTGCGTTAGAAGAACTCAGCAAACGAACTTCGTTCTCGGCATCCAGCCTCTCCAGGCGTATCTTCGTTAATACAGAAAAAAGGAGAGAGGATTTAGAGAAGTGCAAGGCGATACAGAAATAAAAAGCAACTGGCGTTGGGATATTTGCGTCGATTACGCAAAAAATTAATGAACATGCCGTGGCTCCCTCGACATAGACGAGCATGCGCCAAGGCCCACCGCTGCTAACGAGAAGGGCCTGCACAGAAGACGGCCTCTTGAACAGCCAATCACAGATGCCGCAAAGGCGGTCTCGCCCGGCGGCGAAAAAGACGCATGCACGCCTAGTTAGATGCAGTCTGTCCGGCCAATAACCTCCAAGGCCGACCAGACAATGACCGCCAGACGCTGGCCGCTGGGATGCCTGCGGCTCAACCGCACTTAGGACCCGGATAGCCTCCTAACTGG